TGATATTATCTTGCTCCATTATTAAGCGATATTCTTTGACTTCATTGTGTAGGAAAAAGTGAGCCTGCCACCTGCGTAAACAGCATGAGGCTTACGGCTTTTGTTGTGGTTCCCAAATTTGTTTTCCATTTATTTGGGTTGCCTCTCAACTTGCCTCCAGGAACTAACCCAAGAGAGAAACTATAATGAACTGGACAATGCGAAGCATTTCTTTGGCAATGGCCTATCTGTCCATCATTCAGAGTTATGCTCTGAATTTACTGGGGCACAGATGACTCCTGCAGGCTCACAATTGTGACACGTGACATGGGAGCTCAGGTTGCCTGTACAACGAGCTTCCCGTCCCTCAGGCTCAGCTGTTATGCTTTTAAAGGCAGTCGAATAAAATTCTCACAAATTCAGCCCTTTAGCCAGCTCCAAAGGGCAGCTTCATCTTTTCCTTGTTGTAAAGGTAGTTTGGAGAACTCCTCTGTTTAGAACAGGTCCAAACACAGGCTGCGGCAGTGCCGGCTTCCCCTACTTTCTCCTGCTATTGTCCTTTAACCTTGAACTGCTCTAGTGGGGGGTGGGGGAGGATAGTTCTGTCACCACAATCTGTTCAATCCTTGGCGCCACTACTGAGACTGATACCAAGGGAGCCAATTTATGATGCAGGCACCTGTTAGCTGGGGACTGGCTGTACCTCACCCTATTAATGTCACAAAGGCAGCGATGCAGCCCTATGCTACCGTGGTCATATCTGATCACTACCAAGATAGGCTGTGTTTGAGCTGGCAAGTTAGAGGGGGAAGAGCTCCAGTGTGCCATTCCCAATCCCCTGATCTATTCGGTTCCCCTTCCCCATTTGAACTCTTACCTGGACACAAGCATGGAATGGACAGGATTAGAGGAGACTGAATCTGGCACTACTTGCAGTTTGTTCCTGCAGTAGCAAACCAGGAGGCAGTGTGGCACAGATCCTGCTGGCAGCGGGTTCGAAACCAGAACACACTGTAGCCCTTCTTTCTAAGGTGAACTCCAGCAACGCATCAGATCTCTTTCATTTAATCTCCCCTGTGGCCAGTCTTGAACCTGTCCCTTTTGTCCGAATAACCCTTGTGTGCAAGTTTTCTAGTCAGAATCCCTGACCCCCTCTGTGGTGTTAACTAAAGCTGTGTGAAGAATCATTTTTTCAGTTTGCTGGCTGCACTGGGGAAAAAAAAAGATTGGATGGACCCAAAATTAAAACGTTTTGGTTTTTCTCAGCACGTCAGAACAAAGTGATTTTACATTTTTTTGTTTTCAGGCATTTTTAGCAACCTCTTTTGTTTGGTATGAAAAGCAAAGAACACTTTTAGTTTAGTGACTGGCATGTCCAAGTGGAGGTGTTGCCTGTCTCTTCTACGGCAATATAGCTCCTCACCAGGGCCGTAGGAGACTCAGCTTCAAATTCTCACTCTGCCTCCTTGGGAGCAGGGACTTCACCTACCTATCGCAAGTGTGTCCTACTCGCTGGGCTGTAGTGTATTCTAGGGTGGGGTTCTTAATCTCTGCTGTGGAAACTGTTCTGCTCCGTAGAAATAGTTAAATATGAATTGGGGGAGAGAGACTACACCCTGGTGGCAGGGCACTTTTGTGGATGAGGAGACGCTGGTTCCTGTCCCCGTTACAATTATATTTATTTATACAACACCAAAGAGCTTCAACAGGAGAGATTGAGACCCCGCCCATAAGGCGTGTGTGGCCTTGTGGTTAGAGCACTCCCTCAGGATGTGGAAAACCCAAACAAAACTTCTTGCTCACGCTGCGGGGACTTGAATTCAGATCTCCCATCTCTGGGGTGAGTGCTCCAAACACTGGGATAGAAGGGGGACACCCTCCCCCCTCCCCCCCACCTCTCCTCAGTTTTGTGAATGGCATGTAACTCCCCTTCTGAATCTAGCCCTTCTCCCACATTTTTTAATGAAAATATTTGGTGAATTCGTGTAGAATTCGAGTAATTTTGGCTGACAACTGCATTTTTCATTTGCAGCGGTATCTGCCGTGTTGGGCCCGGGATATTCGAGAGACGGGGTGGGTAAGGTCATATTTTATTGAACCAACTTCTGTTGGTGAAAGAGACAAGCGTTTGAGCTCCAGAGCTGCTCTTAAGCTATAAAGCTTGTCTCTTTCACCAACAGAAGCTATTACCTCACCCAGCTTGTCTAGTTGCCAAAAAATGCAGTTATGCAACTTGTCAAAAATAAAAAAAACAACTTCCCTCAGCTCTAGTTTTAACTGCTGGTTATCATTTCTCTCAAAGTCCACATGCCAATGTCAAGTGGCAGTTCCACATTACTGAGAGTATCGCCCCAGGACAGAGCCTGGACTGAAACTAGCACAGGGAGCAAATAATTTGGAGAAGACCTTATTTGGGATTTAGATGCTATGGCAGCAGGCACTTGATAATCAGAGAGGTGAAGCTTTGCTCTGTAAGGCAGTCTGTTCTAACGTATGGGGGACCCTGCATTGGGTCAGGCTGGTATAGCAGGGCTAGATTTTCTTGTGTCCTACTTAATGGTTAATATAGGTAAAATGCTAAAGATTTCTAATTTAAGACCCTGGCCAAAGCTAAACACACCAAAGGGGAGTACTGCTTCCTCCTGCCCCTCTCCTCCCTTGAACTTTCCAAGGACATTCTGGCTGCATTTTGGTTGGTTGAGGCCTGAGACATTCTGGCTGCATTTACCTCCCACCCCTACCCCCAATCCAAGGTTTATGTGTGACTTTCAGTTCTATAAAGCAGTGGTTCTCAACCTTTCCAGACTACTGTACCCCTTTCAGCTGTCTTTGTCTTGCGGACCCCCCAAGTTTCACCTCACTTAAAAACTACTTGCTTACAAAATCAGACCTAGAAATACAAAAGCGTCACAGGACATTACTGAAAAATTGCTGACTTTCTCATTTTTAATATAGAATTATAAAATTGGAATATAAATGTTGTACTTACATTTCAGTGTATAGTATATAGAGCCATATAAATAACTCTTTGCATCAAATGTTAGTTCGTAGTGACTTCACTAGTGCTTTTTATGTAGCCTGTTGAAAAACTAGGCCAGTGTCGAGATGAGTTGATGTGCCCCCTGGAAGGCCTCTGCGTACCCTGTCTACACTTACCCCTGGTTGAGAGCCAGTGCTATAAGGTGAAACTCACCCCTGTGGAGAGGCCACACCAGGCTGTGTTGTTCAGCCCTTAGGATATAGTGTGGTGTGATCTCTGCACTGGAATGAACTTCACCCCCTCAGACGGTTTTACAGTTAATTACTGCTCAGCTTCTATTGTCTCTCGTGACCAAAACTGTAAAATCCAGCCCCATGGCAGCACGTGGTAGGATCGACTGTTGGAATGAGTCAGGCTGAGTTTTGTAGGCATCTTTGACCAAGCTCACTGCGGCGCGGAGAGCTAGGCATCCTGCAGCCTTGCTAGCACGTGTCCGTGCATTCTCTGCATCTATTCATTATGTGAATAACTAGCGCTAACTCGCTCAAAGTTAAGTATACATGGGACTCAATGTATGAGGGCCACAGCTAACATTTATTTTTAACTTGTTTTAAAAGCATTTAATTTTAAGAGTTTGACAATCTTGTTCTGGTCAGCAGATTAGTGTCTGTCTGTAAGAATGTTGATGTGATGTTTGGAATGTAACTTGCCATAACAATAGCAGTGCAGAGTTTGAACCAGCTGTCTTCAGTATAAGGACTTCTTATATGTGCCACCCACTGTAGTACTGGCAACTAGCTTTTCAAATGTGTCTTGTCTCTGGGCGTACTAGTCAGAGGGCCAAGGTGTAAAAAGGGAGCACCACATCTCCCCTACTGATCAGTCCTGTTCCAAGCCATCCAGGGACAGTAGTCTTGAATGGATACATCTCATGGGGGTACCACACGTATGTAACTTACAGCAGTTTTAGTTTAACAAACTGTGATCCTGGTCTTTGTTACTTCCTTACCACTTACTTCCAATCTAGAGGACAAAACATCAGCCTGGGTGTTAGTCCAGCCAAGACAGCAGTCAGGTCTTTAGTTACCTTGACCAAGTAATCTAGCCATTTAGCTTTAGTTTTGCCTTTGGGGATCCTTGATTGAAAGGCACCATGTAAATGCAATGTATTAGAAATATAGCAACTTGGAAGCATCTGTTATATGCAATGATGTATCTGTGCTCTGAAAGTAGTTTATAGGAGAGGGGAGTGAAGCCAGACACTTTCTAGATTAGAGCTGAGTGATGAACTGTTGTAGTTTTCTAACTCCAGGAATCGGAATTACAGTGCTTAATGTACTTACAACAACACTACCATAGTAGGAAATAATTCCATAAGCAGAAAGACTGCTAACAATTTATTTCTAAGTCTCCCTATGTATTAAAAATGTACACGAGTTTTTTTGCAGAATTTTATAACAAGTATTATTGGAACAGTGTGATCTCAGGGTAGTAAAGCTTTAAATACTGCACTGTTTGAATGGAGAAATCCCAAATGATGATGATCACATTTGTTTAGCCTTGCTTGCTAGTGATGAGCGGGAGTGTCAAGAGATGGAGATTAGGGGGCATTACATTTAAAAGGTTACTGAAGCTCATTTTGGAAACTGCCTTAGAGAAAGAAACACTCTCCCTTTACCCCTTGGTCTTTCTAACTTTGCCTGGTTTGTTGGCTTGGCAACAGAGCATTCTAGGACATTTAGGGGCGCGAGGTTCTTTAATAGCCTTAAGAGTCTTGAATCCTAGTTTTGTGGAGGCCAAGATTAGTTGAGATAATGGCTGATGTGAGCCCACAACTTGAAACTAGGAATCCAGCTAGTTGAGCTGAGGCAAGAGTTTCATAGGTCAGAGTCAGCTGGGGGCTAGAGGGCAAGTACAATTGATCACAAGGGACCCTTTTGGCCTTAATCTGTGGCTCATGGGGAATATTAGTGGCCCTATATAATTTGGGGGTAAGGATAATCCTTATTTGCAAGATAGAAAAGGACCAACAAGTAAAAAATGAGTTGGGGAAAAATGTTTATTTTGAAGTTTCTCAGAGGGATTTTACAAACAATGGAGAGCATTTAAAAAAATTAAGTGATCAAAGTACTCGACAGTGTCCCTTAACTACACGCTAGCCCCTGCACAGAGGAAAAAAAAAGTCACACCAGCAAGGAGGTCAATACTGCAGGAAGAGCAGCTGGCATCTGCATAGTTCTAGTAGGAAAGATTGCAATGCTGTTGCTGCTAGTAATTGTCATCCTGGCATTAATATAAGACAGTGCTGAAGTATGTACACTTATACCTGCAGAAAACAAAGTGCATAAAATAACACGCCAAGTAGATATTGTAGAATAAATTTATTTACCTGAAACAATGAAATTAGGTGTGATGCTTATTGTCAGCATTGAAATAGACAATTGATCTTCTTAACAACTTCTAAAGGTCACATGCAGTTGTTATAACTGACACTTTTTTAGATAAATGCATCACACAAACACTTGTATTGCACCAACATCTGTCTACTGCTTTAGATTTAATTAAATAAGTTACATTAGTGCAAGAGAGGTATCTTTGCACACAAAAAATAAAAAATCTGAAGTTATGAACCGGAGGCTTACAGTTTAAACATTCAACATCTGTATTTTTTTACTGAATTTATAAATAGTATAGCATATTGTACATAGCTGTTCATAAAGTAGTATGTTTAGATGATACAATACAGAAAGATTTGGCTACTTACAACTGAAGGCATGCATTAGTCTATTATACATTTTATACAGAGAAATATGGAAACTTGGCTGACAGCTCCTTAATTTTGGCCTAATGTTTAAGAATAAACAGTCTTCTCCATGCAGCAAAGAAACCAAACTTCTCTGGAGATTTTTTTCCTGATTCGTTAAGCTATATTGCACATTTGTACATTTGTATAACTGAAGCCCTAATGGTACCACACACTTCCTCCACAGAGCACACAATGAGTTTTGTTTTAGGAAAAGCAGGTTTTTGTTTTTTTACATGATACATGCAGAGGTTTTGCCAGATGTGTTGCTAAGACACATGCACGCAACAAAACAACCTTACATTTCTGCAAAATTGTTTAGGAAGTGATTACTCCAGCAATGCTGAAAAGGAAAGAAAAAGGCATCAGTTAGTGAAAGGATGAATAATGCTATATCATTATAAAAGCAAGACTTGTAAGATCAATAGTGAGAGAAGAGAGTTGTTAAGTTGGATAACTGATGTTTTAATTGAAAGGACACTGTCAGGTTTAAAATACCTGAGCTTAAACACCTTGAGTGAAATCCTGCCCTTATTGAAATCAGTGACAAAGCTCCCAGGGCCTGCAGTAGGGCCAGCATTTGTCACCAAAAGATTGAAGGTGAAAGAGTTAAAACCTAATTTCCTTTCATGTAGTTTTGCATTTCTCTGTCTGGCCAATGGAAATAGACAAGGCTCTTTTCACTTTCAGGTTCTTATGCACTGACTTAAGGTTTTAATATTTGAACTAACCCCTGCATGAATTTTAAAAAGTTTTAAAAAAAATTGTCATGGAAGTGTCTCTAAAAAAAAATAATAATAATAATTTCAGAAAGTTGCTAAAGTAAGTTTTGGCTCAAAGTTGACCTAAGTGTCCCTTGAATTATCCAGGTTATGCAACTAATTCTGGGAAAAGTCATTAAACTATATAGATAAGAGGGTTTGTAATAAAATGACTACTTTACCCTGTATTTAAGGATAAAAAACAATATACACCTCTACCCCGATAACACACTGTCCTCGGGAGCCAAAAAATCTTACCGCGTTATATCGGAGGTGTACTCTAATTCCCTACAGAGTTCTTAGGACTGCACTGTAAAACACTGCACTCAGCCCCTGTACATTGTAGGCTATGCTGCTGAGATTTTTCAGAGTATGCTTAATATTAATGCAATTCAAGCTGTGATTAGCAGAGATTAGGGAAACAATGGTTAGAAGTGCAAAAGGTAAATGAGACTAGTGCAAGAGAAACAGATAATTTTGTATCAGATTTACCTCTTTCCCCCTCCCATCTCAGCAAATTCCATCATCTTTCCTGTTTGAGCTGTTTTCTATTATATTCCACTTATCAGCTGTGTTCTTGGAAGAAGCTAGAGGCCTGCTGTACTGCATTTTATCACCATCGATTAAAACCTCATTTTCTTACATTTAAATGTTTATGAAACAGCCTTCCCACAAACATTAGCCATATAGCAATTGTATAGAATGGAATTGTTTTATACAGTATCTTTCATATTTGGTCTCCTGAAGTGTTATCTAAAGTAATCAGATACCATTCATCTTCCATTTGTGTAGGTAAAATGGAGCCGCCATTTAAATATGGCTCAGGAATAGCTCTTTGGGTAGCAGATATTATTGAGAGGAAATAGCGACAAGAGTCCACGCTATCAAGACATCCGAGTAGCCCTAGACTAGATGCATCCGAACAAGTTACTTCACCAGCATCTTCCCTCCAGCTAGAAGCAACATTAGGTAAGATTTTCAGCATCCCACACAGGGTGCTCTTGTCCCAACCAAAGGGGATGCTTTCAGATTTTGACAAACTTTTTTCCAGCATAAGCCTTAGAAAGGCACCTCTTTCATCCAGCTCTCTTTCACCTGGCCTGCTACAAACAGAGGTTCCCCTATGCTGCTCGTGCATCAGGGATCCAAAAGATTAAGATTACCAAAGGAGAGCAGTAAGGAACCCAGGGTGCAATGGAGAAAGCTCAGAAGTGTGGAAAGGAAAATGGAAGCAGAGTCAAAAGGCACAGAAGTGTTCAAAGAAACACTGGTGCAGAGTCTGGAAAGGAGAAATGCAAGTTACTTTGCAGCTAATTACTAACAAGCTTCAACAAGATATTTGTCCATGGGATTATGAAGTAGTCTAAATGGATCCCTTATGAGTGAACACTTCACAGACCTGTGCATATTTCCTTCCCTCTCCCCTCTACAAAATCTACCAAGTTTGGTTAGAAAGAATGTGGAAATTTCTCTTTTAGAAAAATAAACATGCAGTTGACCCACATAATTGGGACTCAAAAGGAATTCTTCTAATATGAAAGTTTAAATTTTGGCAAGAAATTCTACTTTCTTAGAAGTAATGCAACTTTGTTTTGCTCAAGCTATTCCTTTGTGGTTGTCAGAACCCTTTCCACGTCTCATCCTTTTGACTAGAGACAAGATCCAAGCATATCAATGCTGCTTTTTAGTAGGGCTGTCAATTAATCACAGTTAACTCAATTATTGTGATTAAAACATTGATTAATCACACTTAATTGCACTGTTAAACAATAGAATACCAATTGAAATTTATTAAACATTGTGGATGTTTTTCTACATTATCAAAGTGTACAGTGCTCACTTTATATTTTTATTTTATTACAAAGATTTGCACTATAAAAATGAAACAAGATAGTATTTTTCAATTCACCTCATACAAGTACTGTAGTGCAGTCTTTATTGTGAAAGTACAATTTACAAATGTAGATTTGTTACATAACTGCACTCAAAAACAAAACAATGTAAAACTTTAGAGCCTACTTCTTGTTCAGCAATCACTAAGAGGACAAGCTTGTTTACATGTATAGGACAGAATGCTGCTGTCGTCTTATTTACAATGTCACCTGAAAGTGAGAATAGGCATTCACATGGCACTTTTGTAACTGGCATTGCAAGGTATTTATGTGCCAAACATTCATATGCCCTTCATGCTTTGGCCACCATTCCAGAGGACATGCTTCCATGCTGATGATACTCGTTTACAAAAAAAGTGTGTTAATTAAATGTGACTGAACTCCTTGGGGGATAATTGTACTTCTCCTGTTCTGTTTTACCTGCATTCTGCCATATATTTCATGTTATAGTAGTCTCGGATGATGACCCAGCACATGTTCGTTTTAAGAACAATTTCACTGCAGATTTGACAAAACGCAAAGAAGGTACCAATGTGAGATTTCTAAAGACAGCACTCAACCCAAGGTTTAAGAATCTGAAGTGCCTTCCAAAATCTGAGAGAGACGAGGTGTGGAGCATGCTTTCAGAAGTCTTAAAAGAACAACACTCCAATGTGGAAACTACAGGATCAAACTACCAAAAAAGATGCTGATGGCATCTGACTCATGTGGAAAATGAATATGCATTGGTCTGCACTGCTTTCAATTTTTATTGAGCAGAACTGGTCATCAGCATGGATGCATGTCCCTGGAATGGTAGTTGAAGCATGAAGGGACATACAAATCTTTAGTGCATCTGGCACAAAAATATCTTGCAATGCCAGTTACAACAGTGTCATGAGAACGCCTGTTCTCACTTTCAGGTGACATTGTGAACAAAAATCAGGCAGCATTATCTCCTGCAAATGTAACCAAACTGGTTTGAGCGATTGCCTGATCAAGTAGAACTGAGTGGACTTGTAGGTGCTAAACTTTGACATTTTTATTTTTGAATGCAGTTATTTTTTTGTACATAATTCTACCTTTAAGTTGCACTTGCATGATAAAGAGATTGCACTACAGTACTTATATGAGGTGAATTGAAAAATACTATTTTTTTACTGTGCAAATATTTGTAATAAAAATATAAAGTGAGCACTGTATTTGAAAATGTAGGAAACATCCAAAAAATATTTAAATAATGGTATTCTTTTGTTGTGTGACAGTGCGCTTAATCGGGATTAATTTTTTTAAATCACTGGACGGCCCTACTTTAATTAGCTAGAGAGAAATACTGTAGTCACACAAGTCCCTCCTTTCTTCCTCACTGATTCCTTATGCTACTTTTGCTCCCTCTGTAACACTTGCAAAGGGAAATTGGGCGGCCAGCAGACCAAGATAGTTCACTATGGTATCCTAAAGTCTCCCTTTCTAATTCAGCATTCAAGCCGCTTTGAGCCATCCTAACTTTTGAGCAGCCTGTTACTGACACAAAAGATATCTTAAAGATTAAGTTGGGCATTGTCAAGTGTGGATTAAGGAAGCATTCTCAAAATTGAAGCCCAGGGTCAGAGGCTGTAGAGCACAAACAATAGCTCCCTGTTGGGCATCTGCTTAAGCTGGCTCACTCAGGAGCATGAAGGCAAACATTCATCCAGCAGAAGAATCAGTCTGATGGACCTTGAAGCTTGGCAGACCTAGGCCTCAGGCAGCTTAAGTCCCTCTCTGGTGACAACTCTTGGAAGGATAGAGGGTAAGATTCCTTAGGCTTTAATAATAGCAGCTGCCTTTGAAATAGCAGAGATGGGATAGAATCTGCACTTGCTTCAAGTTACATTTTTCACAATTAATGCTTACTCATTTAACTGGTAGAGAGTGCTTTCGTGCTCCAACTTTAGATGATGCCCCTAACAATTATATTGCTAGAGCATAGAACCTCAGGTTTAAAGAAAAAGTTGAAGTCAACCCAGGTTTTTCCTCCTCTGTTCAGCCTGCTCCACCCCACAATCCAGATTTCCTACCTTCACCCTTAAGTGCCTAGTTTACATGCTGCTCTCTGTGCAGGAGCAGGGTTGCACACTGCTTCTAAAATCATGCAAGGAGGTCATTGGAGATGCATGAAACTCCCTTAAGATGGTGGGCAGTCTGCTTCAGAAACAGAAGCTTCCCCTCCCCACCCCCCAGAAAACCCAACACCACAACCCCCACCAACCAACCTTTCAAAATCCTTGGTTTTGAAATGGACAATCTTTGAAACCCTTAAAGTGTTCACTGTTGGTGCACTATTTAAATTCACAATGTTTAAAGGAAAAAGGCAAGTTTTGCTATTATCTAAATATTAAAGATGCTGACACTACAGAAAACCTTAAATGTTATCTCCCCCCCCCCAAAAAAGCCCCCAACACCACCCCTCCCCACATGTAAACCTCAAATGGATTTGGTTTTAAGTGACCAGAACAATTTAATGGCCTATTAACTTCTGTAAAAGCCAGTCATGTCCTCAGAGGATGGTTTGGTGAAATAGATGGAAAAGTTGTCCCAAAAGCAAATAAATTTTGTATCAATAGTATTCCTGAAGTTACACACACAAACACACACACACACACAACCCACTGCCACTGGCTTGTACTTAAAATGCTTGGATTGTATATGCCCCTTGTTCCAGGATTTGTGGATCGGACATTCCAAAGGTTGAACACCTATAGCTCCCCCTGAAGCTCTGGGTGCAGATAACATTTCTGGAAACAGGCCCTATCTTTATAACTAAATACCTTTATAACATTAAGTTAAACTTTAGCAAATGGGGTTAATTAATTGTAATTTTAATTATAAGGCAGTCCAGATTAGTGGTTTTAGTGACAGTGTGCGTCCTAAAGGCCTAATCCAGAGAAGATCATCTGTTATATTAGGGAAATTGCTGTGGAAAACTGTTCCCTGTCTTCCAAGAAGCAGGTACTCCCTTCTGAATTGTGAATGCTGATAAGGCATTCTAAGTTTACACTGCCCCATGGATGTAGTTGTAAATCACTAGTTCTTGGGAAGGATGTGCATCTCGCTGCAAGGAGAGATCCTTCCATCAGCCACACTAACGGCATTCAGCACAATACTAAAAAGTACATTAGTTAAGCGTTCAGGGACTTGTACTCTCCTACCAGATGACACTGATCTGATGAAACACCCCACAGTGAGCCACTCACACTAAATAGAAGAGGCTTTGCTGGCACACTAGTACTATTTCAAACAGGACTACATTATTGCTAAGGCCCTACCAAATTCATGGTCCATTTTGGTCAATTTCATGATCATAGGCTTTTAAAAATCTTAAATTTAATTTCAGCTGTAGATCCTGACCCAAAAGGAGTTGTAAGGGGGGGGGGGGGGAGAGGGCACAAGGTTATTGTAGGGGGTTTGTAGTACTCCTACCCTTACTTCTGCACTACTGCTGGCAGCAGTGCTGCCTTCAGAGCTGGGCAGCTGGAGAGTGGTAGCTGCTGACTGGAAGCCCAGCTCTGAAGGCAGAGCTGTTGCCAGCAGCAGTGCAGAAGGATGGCATGGCATGGCATGGCATGGCCCCCTTTGAAGGCCCAGCTCTGCAGGAAGTAGCGCAAAAGTAAAGGTGGCAATACCCTACCAGGCCATCCTTACTTCTGCGCTGCTGCTGGCCATGGCTCTGCCTTCGGAGCTGGGCTCCCAGTCAGCAGCCGCCCAGCTCTGAAGGCAGCCGTGCAGAAGTAAGGGTGGTGTGGTATAGTATTTGTCACCTTTACTTCTGTGCTGCTGCTGCTGGTGGGGCGCTGCTTCAGAGCTGGGTGCCCAGCTCTGAAGGCAGCAGCGCAGAAGTAAGGGTGGCAATACCATGACCCCCCTAAAATAACCTTGCAACCCCCCTGAAACTCCTTTTTGGGTCAGGACATCCAATTTGAGACACACGGGTCTCTCCCTGTGAAATTTGTACAGCATGGGGTAAAAGCACACTAAGGATCCGATTTCACAGGGAGAGACTAGATTTCATGGTCGTGACGTGTTTTTCAAGGTGGGGAGTTTGGAAGGGCCCTAATCATTGCGCGCTAGGAAAGTTTGAGGGTGTCAACATGATCTACACTGGCAGCTAAGAGTAACAGTACACAGTGCTCTGCAATTTACACCCTCTGATGCACATTGCCACACTGTGTAGACAAGCCCTTGGTCTGCATATAGGAGGGACAACAACTAGTTGGGACTCATGTGCTGTGATTTCAGAGTGGTTTTATTTTATATTTATTGTATTTTGGGGGCATTTAAGCTTCTGCATCTGAAACCAGGTGAAAGCATGGAACCTACATTATCCATGCCCTTCTGGAGCAGCTCAGAGTTCTTTGGTGCCTTTAATTGATCAGTTACCTTCAGCAAAGTAAGTTGAAAAGTAGTGGCCCAACTGCTATTAAACAGATTTAAACCAACACACCATCAGCCATTTGACAAAGCCACTATGCCCCCAGTGCTGCTCTCAAAAGCTCTGCACTGATCTGGCTGAGGTGAACAGGAATGTTCCTTTTTGTCTTTTCACATGAACATTGTACAAAGAAAGCGTTTCCATTCAATGGAAACAATGGATTGTTCTGTTACACAGTGAGCACTCTAGGTACCTGAGAACATAATTGGAATGGATACAGTCAGCTGGGAAGCAGCATTTCACATTTTCTATGGTGGGTGTATGTCTTCAGAATAAAGCAATGTCTGATCATAAGCATCAATATATTTTGCATTAATGCTTGGGTATAAAATTCAGGAGCAGCTGTCAATGGGTTTGAAAAAGCTTACAGTTGACTTGACCCAAGTGTGGGGTAAAGTTGGGCAAGAGCTCTAATTTCTTGCTGCACTGAAGCTGCTGGTCCCAAAAAGAACTGATCCTGAATGTAAAGCAATTTGCTTCAATAATTTGGGCTTCATACTATAGGATGCATAGTCTAAAATGGTGATAATAATGTAGCACAGCAGAGGCTGACAAGACACAGCATGGAATGAAAGAAATTACTATTTATTCTTTGACATGTATACAGCATATGCCATTTTACAGCAAGTCACCACTGGGATGGTGAAATGGAAGAGAAATACTCACTTTAGTCGATGAACGTTGGAAGGCATTGGAGAAAAACACCACAGTTAGGACTGTTAATGACTTACACATTGTTGATACAGGACTGAATTTGAAAACATGCTCTAACATTTATCATAATATAATGAAGGTGGTTAGTGCCACATTAAAATAAAAATAGTTCTATACAATATGTTCATTTGGTCATGTGCTATTTACAGATTTTACAAAAACACACACGAGCTTGTTATTTCTCTAAGTCAAGCTAGAACAAGGCCAGCAGAGTAACTCATAAAATGTGTAACTGATCAGTGCCCCAACTAAAAGTGTAAGAAATCCAATTTCTAACTATGCAGTGCAAGTTATTTTTTCCAGGTCACATTACAAAAGCCCTGATCTAAGACTGAAAAACATCTGACACACGTAAATAAGGTATTAAAAACGGAACTTAAGCCATCTTTTAGAGTTAAAAAAAAGAAATAGAATTTTCTTTGTCCATTTAAAAGTTTAAGCTAGACTGAAGTAGTGCCCCCCCTCCCCCAGTAAAGTGGGCAACACTGGCAAAACAAGGTTTGTTATAATAAAATACATTAGACATTTAAATAAATAACCTTAAAATACTACGTGTGTTGAAGGGATGACAGAAGAACCCAGCAGGTTCCACCTGGAATTATGTTTTCTGCACAAGCATGACTAGGCATACTCTACCTCTTACAAAGACTGGGAGAAACAAGACAGTCAGGAACCTAAGATGAGGGGGCATAAGGAGGGACAAACAAAACAAAACAAAAAAACCACTGACTGAGGTAGCAGTACTCTCTGCCCAGTGCAGAAAAATCGGCTTATGAATAAAAAATAAACTGATATCAACTTAAGTTCAGATGATCATGCAAGAGACAGACAGTTGCATGCTTTTTTAGTTTTAGAAAACACATTCATTCCCTAAAATCTGCTACCAATTTAGTTTGATAGTGTCTGCTGGCTCAAAAAAAAAGTTTTGTTTTGTTTTTTTTACAAGGATGAATAGACTATTAAACAGAACACTGTACATGCTTTTCATCTACAAAAAAATATTTGCATAAAATAGTGTTAGTTCTCTGTACATGTCAATGGACACTTTAGTTGTGTATAAAAGAGGAAAATATTGCCCCCACTGGAGTCAGAAAAAGCAAAACACAAAATCTAGAGTATGAAACCTCCATCACCGGCAAATATGTTCATGTGAAAATTCAGCAGAAATCGACAGTTGCTTTAAACAATAAAAAAATTGATTAAGTTAAACATCTTTATGTAAAAGCATCACTCTGTCAGTCAAGACCAGAACATATCACTAAAGTTAGTGTCTGTACTGTAAAGCCAGATAAGCAAGGGCATAGTAATGAGCACAAATGGCCAGGAAATCCCTTCGGTGCATGCTGACAAAGAACATGGTTTGGTTGCAGGCTTCACGTAATCTTTACCAGGTTCCAGGTAGTTACGGGCCGCAAACTTAAGGGTCTCATCCAGCAGAATTACAGGTAGTGAGATTTTCAACACCATCAGCCACTGTGTCACATTCAGAGGTGTGATTTGGAAGATGAGCTGTGGAAGAGAAGCCAAACATTAAATCCTTTTATTTATACACACAAAATAAATAAATAAAACTCTGTTTTTTCTTCTTTGAAATTTAAGGTATTACAGACAAGTAGTTTTGCCAATCTTGTCTTTGCACATAGCTTGCACCCAATTAACACGTTTACTTACCGGCAGTGGTTCTACATAAAGGATAAGAAAATGGAGTGACATGGACAAACAAATAGAACCCAGCAGCCAGACATTCTCCCATGGAGGCATTCTCATTAAGGACTGGTTTTCTGATAAACTGTAACAGAAACAATGCATACATAAGACATTAGAATAGGACATTCAACAAGGCACATTAGGCATCTTAGCAGGCCATAATTCTGTGCCCATGAAGTAAGAGTATTTAAGAACAAGACAGTTAGGGGGCTGCTGACACTTTTGGTCATTAATCAGTGTTCAGATTATTAAAGGTGGTTTTAAAAGTAAATAGTTGCTGTATTAGATAAAAAGATGTTACACAATACTTCAAAGAGCTAACAGGGTTACACTGCTTTGAGTATTAGACTGCATTTTAAACTAAAATTACTGTCCATCTTAATTAGCAGAGAGTTTATACAAGATTACAGTTAGCACAAGAATATTAAAATGGGCCTATTTAATACATCTAACAAACACAAACAACACTTTTGTTTAAATCCGTTTTCTGTGCAGGTTCAATTTAAGTTTTGGCTATACCAGAGGAGGTTTTTGTGCTGCAATATAGAGTTTAGGAAGAGGAATCTCAGATGTAGAGTATTTTAAATGTAGAGCTAATGTACCATCCTTAATTTTCAAGTTATGATTTTTTTTTTAATTTAACTGACCTCCAATTTGTTTCTTCAAATACCCTTGGCATATTGTGCTATTTAGAGATTTCCATTTATAAATTAGTATTAATTAGCTGAGGCACGCTCCCTTAGGGCAGGAAAAACTATTTCCCATATATTTAACAGTCTTATTTTAGGTCTCCTTAATATCACTCTATAGCAGAAGTATGAGGGATAATCTGATTGATGAGGCTTAAATTAAACAGTGGAAAATATCCTAGCAGTCTAATGCCAAAGTCCCAAGTGTGAATTGAAGGATTTAAAAGGATACCTCTGCTTAGAGCACAAGATCTCAAATGTGATCTAGGAAAAACTATCCTTTGGCCTTCAATATACAAACTCAGGAATTCACCATTCCCTCACTATAATCTCTAGATATCTATTACTTATGTGTCCTTTCTTAATGCATAGACAGTTTGCTATCTAAAACTTAGAGCTTTTTGCCTGAAATTATCAAGTGAATCTCAGCTTTCTACTTCAGACATAACTAACCTGTTGAGAGCATTACACATCTCTATTGTGACCAGAACAGAAAGTGCCATTGTCATTGGGTATGGCGACTCAAAGACCACACAGTCTACATCTGTGAATTCTGGGTTGTCCTCGTTGCACTGTAGGAAATGACTCTACAACAGAATAAAACAAGCACTCATTATTTCAACAATGATGATTACCTATTTACAAAAACATTAAAGTGGGATGGTGCAGCAGTCCAGCACTAGGATTATAAAAGCCTGTGCCTAGAGAGGCCAACATCAGGAAGAATTACTTTTGACTTCATCTCGGATTCAAACAATTCACATAAATTTGATATGTATAGAAACTTTCCATAAAAAGACACCTATTTCCTTCAAAAACAGTTTAAAGAAAGTCTCTGGTATTCTACCTTTCAGCTTTTTATAGCTATTAACTCTGAATAAGCAGGATTATTTAATACAATTAAAGATGGTCCTTCTGCAGCTATTCTTTGAAATGAAAATGTAGAGCATACAGTAAGTACCAACACATGTTACATTCAGTAGGAGTTTATATATTTTTGCAGGCTTTCTAAAGTAAATTAAACTGAATAATACCAGCTGGTAATAGGTAACTCTTGGGCCACCATCAGCAGCAATGAACCACCATGCAGCAGCACCCACTGTCGCAGCTCCAACATAACCTTAAAGAAAAGAGACGCAATTTGTTTTTCTATATTATGAATAGTACGTATGACACAGTCTTGTTAACCTCACTTGAACTTCCTCCTCTACCATCACTTGGGCACACACATACACAATGTAGCCTTTGCCCCTTTCCCGTAGAAGGAATCTGCTTTTAAACTGCCAAGTCACCATAATTGGAATCTGTCCAACTGTAAAGATCTTTTATGTGTTTATTGTAATTTAGGGCATACAGAGAATTCAACCATGGGCATGGCTCTGGAAAGTTAAACATTTAGTATATTTAGCAGAAAATAAATCTAACTTCTCACTTTCCACTAAAAAAAGTATGAGTAATTAACTCTGTTCTACAGAGACAAAGTACAAATATGAATGTGCTGCAGAACAATTTGGTTAGATATTCATGACAGATTTGGCCAAACCATTGTCATTTGCTGATTGAAAGAAAGGTTCTAGATACCAGGTGGGTGGCCTTCTGCTCCAGATCTGGCTTCTTCATTACTAAGTCAACAAGCATCTTGCATTTCTCAATCCCTGAAGACAGTTAAGTAGCAATCCCAACCTGTCCTCAGCTGGAAGAGAGTATGTGGGGTGGAGACGGAAAGATTGGGATGGGTCACAGGAAGGGGAAGGGAATGTTGTAGGAGAGGAGAGTGTGCGCTATCTAGGTGGAAACAAGTGTTCTGGACAGAGAACTCTAATTTAGCTTGAGCACATATGTCTACTGTGGGGTTCCTTCCTGTGAAACATTTAGCACTGGGCACTGCCATAGACAGGCTATTGGACTAGATGGACCTCAGGTCTAATCCAATGTAACAACAATTCCTACATTCTGAGATCAGATTATAAAAGGTTTAAGTTTGAACCAGCAGTAACACATGACATGACAGTGTTAAGGAGCCCATACATGCACTGCTTTGCCTCATACCCATAAGACTTAAAACGAGGGCACTATGACTACAGGAGGTGTACTGGAAGTACTGGTAAATCTATTGGATAATTGATGGAACAAAGATTAAAAGGAGTGTGCTAGTTCAGCAGTACACTGTGCTAGCCTTCAAGACCCTAAAACATAACTGAAGACCATATAAATTCCAACAAGTCATTCTACATTACAAACAGTTAAAAAGAAAAGCTAGTGAGCTACTCACATCCAATAGCCAGGTAACGGAAGAAGAGCCATCCGCTGATCAGGGGCTCTTTAGGATTACGGGGTGGCTTATCCATGATGTCTAAATCGGGAGGATTGAAGCCCAGAGCAGTGGCAGGGAGACCATCCGTTACAAGATTTACCCATAACAGCTGGACGGGAATTAAAGCCTCAGGGAAACCCAGAGCAGCAGTTAAGAAGATACTACAAAAAGGAACAAGTACAAAATTGTCTGTGGCCATGTTAAACCAAACATATTATAAATACTCATCTACGTTTAGTTTTTAAATAATTCTGTTCCTTAGTAACTGGCAATGAAAAATTATGCTGTGTCTCATTATTTAATATTGGAAGCTAAATATTCACATTGAGATAGCTAGGAATGTACATGCATTTTATAGCCAACAATAATTGAATAATGTTTAAAGTAGGTGCATTTTGTTTTGGTAGACTGAGGAGCTTTATTACTCTCTACCAGAGTAACCCTCACAAAGCACTAGGCTGCTTTCCGGAGTACTTGGAGGATATTGCTTCTACAGATCTATGCTCTTTGAGTTGTTTGGTAAAACAAATGGACCTGATGGAGCATTAAAAAGCAGTTTTCACCTAGTGGAGCCACTTCTTGAAGTCATCTATAAAGGGAGGCTTGCAAACTACTCCCTAAAAGTCTGCAACTGTTATAGAATTACAATATAACTGAGGGGCAAGATTCCATTGAACTAGATATCCTCCAGTCCTTGCACACATGCATTGGGGAATGCAACCTCCCTTTGAGTCAGCATGGTTTAGGGTAGAACTACAGAAGTAGGGATCTGTAGCAATAACCGTCAGAAGGAGAACTGACATTAAGCCCTTGGAAAAAGGAGAGTCTTATGGCTTAAATACAAAAATGGGACTCAGGAGATCTGGGCTTTATTCCTGGCTCTGACACCAACTCACTCTGTGGTCTTGGGAAAGAGTCAACTTGTGTGTTAGATTTCCCAACTGGTAGAATGCAGATTTGTCTATTTCAAAGGAGTCTTGCCCAAACGAAGCATTAAGGACCTATATTAGTGGACATTACAGTCTGAAAACTAGAATTTGGGAAAACATCCAATAGTTCTTTGAAATATTTAACATCTGACTAGAAGTTTCTCAAAACATAGTGAATATATAATTAATTCCCTTAAGTATTTATATGCATTGCAATGCTCATCTCTTTTAAACATAGTTATTACTTCTAATAAACCTGTGTTCCCCAAATAGCATCTAGCAATATTGTAAGTTAAAACTGACTAGCTTCCATTACAGAAGTGCAAAATTAAAACAGAACCACTTCTTAAAACTTACCAGACAACTTCTCCAACATTCGAAGAGATGAGATAACGGATAAACTGTTTCATGTTGTTGTAGATTGCACGCCCTTCTTCCACAGCAGCTACGATGGTTGAGAAGTTGTCATCAGCCAATACCATTTCAGAAGCAGTTTTAGCTACTGCAGTACCTGACCCCATAGCAATCCCAATTTCTGCTTTCTTCAGTGCAGGGGCATCATTTACACCATCACCAGTCTAAAATACAAAGTTTAACAGAAAACGTGGGCACTTATATGCGGGGACTGGAAGATGATTTTACACAGGGGACAAAAATCTAAAGTGGGTGAGTAAGGAGGTGCAGAATTGAGATGGGGCCGTTAAGGTGAAGGACAGGAAGTTTAAACTTGATTGAACTGACAGGCACAGAAGATGACCTGAGTAGCAACAGTGTTTCCAATGCTGTTATTCTGATTATGCCTATAATCAACATGTGAACATTACAATACACACACAATGCAACTAGTTGAGACTGATTGCTGAAGTGCAAGGAAACTGGGTTCAAGAGAAACCTCTCTATTTACTCCACCCAAACATCCACAATCAAGGGGACCACTACACAATATTCCTTGCTTGTCTAACAAAACTGACTCAGAGGTCAACTATCTTAGTTCTTCAGGCCATACACTTAGGTGCCCAAACCAAAAGACAGTTTGCTGATTTCCCATCTCTTACTCTAATTAGGCTGAAGAGAAGAAGTTTCTGCCTTAGGGAGATGGCAGTGCCTTTGATTTATTGTCCCAAGTGATCAGAGATGTGCTCAGATGCTTTGGGGGAGGGGGAAGGAAGGAAAAAGCCCAATTCTACCAACTGGGTAAATTACAAGTACCATATTTTGTCAACGTTTTGGTGTGAACCAGTAAGATATTTCTGATGCTGAACTATGCCCACGATACCTTATTTTTAAGTAATTTTTTGAACAATGCACTGCTGAACAACATTCCTAAAAAATGGAAAGAGCAATTGATGAAAGCTATCACTAGTTGGGTGAAAACTGATTCTAATTTCTAATTTTTCAGGCTCCAATACATGCAATCATTTACCCATTGTCCTAGGAAAAATACAAGGGGTGGTCCCTCAAAGTTTAAGAGCAAAGGTCCATCTAGCCCAGTATCCTGTCTTCCGATAGTGGCCAATGCCAGGTGTCCCAGAGGGAATGAACAGAACAGGTAATCATCAAGTGATCCATCCCTGTCAGCCATTCCCAGCTTCTGACGTCCACCATCCCTGCCCATCCTGGCTAATAGCCATTGATGGACCTATCCTCCATGAATTTATCTAGTTCTTTTTTGAACCCTGTTATAGTCTTGACCTTCACAACATCCTCTGGCAAGGAGTTCCACAGGTTGACTGTGCGCTGTGTGAAAAAAATACTTCCTTTTGTTTTAAACTTGCTGCCTATTAATTTAATTTGGTGGCCCCTAGTTTCGTGTTATGAGAAGGAGTAAATAACACTTCCTTATTTACTTTCCTCCACACCAGTCATGATTTTGTAGACCTCTATCATATCCCCACTTAGTCGTCTCTTTTCCAAGCTGAAAAGTCCCAGTCTTATTACTCTCTCCTCATCCAGCAGCCGTTCCATACCCCTAATAATTTTTGCTGCCCTTTTCTGAATCTTTTCCAAGTCCAATGTATCTTTTTTGAGATGGGGTGACCACATCTGCACGCAGTATTCAAGATGTGGGTTTACCATGGATTTATATAGAGGCAATAGGCTCTCTCTTTCTTAATGATTCCTAACATTTTGTTCACTTACAGATCCTTTCGTAGCTCTTTGCAGTCTGGCTGGGACTTAACCATCTTGAGTAGTTTTGTATCATCTACAAATTTTGCCACCTCACTGTTTACCCCTTTTTCCAGATTATTTATGAATGTTAAATAGGACTGGGCCCAGTACAGACCCCCGAGGGACACTACTATTTACCTCTCTCCATTCTGAAAACTGACCATTTATTCCTACCCTTTGTTTCCTATCTTTTAAACAGTTATCAATCCATGAGAAAACCTTCCCTCTTATCCCATGACTGCTTACTTTGCTTAAGAGCCTTTGGTGAGGGACCTTGTCAAAGGGTATGTCTACACTTCCCGGAGGGTCCCACGGCAGGCAATTGATGTTCTGGGATCGATTTATCGCGTCTGGTTAAGACGCGATAAATCGATCCCGGAAGTGCTCGCCGTCGACGCCGGTACTCCAGCTCGGCAAGAGGAGTACGCGGCATCGACGGGGGGGCCTCCCTGCCGCGTCTGGACCCGCAGTAAGTTTGGACTAAGGTACTTCGAATTCAGCTACGTTATTAACGTAGCTGAATTTGCGTACCTTAGTCCGAAGTGGGGGCTTAGTGGGGACCAGGCCAAAGGCTAGGTCTACACTACGGGAGGGGGCTGGGGGTAGGGGGGGCGGAGAGGTCGACCTAAGATACGCAACTTCAGCTATGCGAATAGCGTATCTGAAGTTGCGTATTTTAGGTCGACTTACCTGGCTGTGAGGACGGCAGCGAGTCGACCGCTGCCGCTCCCCCGTCAACTCCGCTTCCGCCTCTCGCTGCGGTGGAGTTCCGGAGTCTATGGCAGAGCGATCGGAGATTGATTTTATCACGTCTACACTGGACGTGATAAAAATTGATCCTTGATAGATCGATCGCTACCTGCTGATCCGGCGGGTAGTGAAGACGTGCCCAAAGGCTTTCTGAAAATCCAAATTCACTATATCCACTGGATCCCCTTGTCCACATGCTTGTTGACCCCCCCCCACCCTCAAAAGAATTCTAGTAGATTGGTGAGGCATGATTTCCCTTTACAAAAACTATGTTGACTATTCCCCAACAAATTATGTTCACCTATGTGTGACAGTTTTATTCTTGACTATAGTTTCAACCAATTTGCCTGGTACTGAAGTCAGATTTACCAGCCTGTAATTGCCGAGCTTAAAACAAAAAACAACAACAACTGAAATTTGTCAGATTTAGGCATTAGTTTGACGGGATATAATTTGTTTTAAAAGTAAAATCTCTTTTACAGCCATGCAAGCTTCTAATTACTTACCATAGCCGTGATCTCATCGAAAGACTGGAGGAACTCAACAATCTTAGACTTATGGGAAGGCTCTACACGGGCAAAGCAACGAGCATGTAGGCAAGCATCTCTCTGGACAGCTGGGGAAAGTTCATCAAACTCACGTCCAGTAAAGGCTTTTGAAGAAACATCCTCATCTTCTCCAAAGATACCAATACGACGACAGATGGCTACTGCTGTGCCCTTATTGTCACCAGTAATCATAATAACACGAATACCAGCCTTCTTACACAACTTTATGGATGAGGCTACTTCAGTTCTTGGGGGATCCAGCATACCCACACAGCCAACAAAGGTCAAATTGGTCTGAAACAAGAGGACATTGAGCTTTAGCACAAAATATTAGGAGACGCTTTTATTTCTTTGGTAGGACAGTACAAAAATCATTTTCACAAGCCAAAGTAGCTCAAACATTAATTTATAAGAGGAAAATAGCATTTTTATCCTACAGTATCTAACAGTTTTTAATTCAGGCCTCTATAAACTTGCATGCCACCCCCGCCAACCCTACCTCGATGTTTGTTCAAAACTAATATGTGACAAGGTTCAGCAAGCATGCAATGCACATCAAGTCAGATTTTCCCCCACTTATGGGGCTCTTCCAGACTCATCTCTGTATTTTGGCATACTCAGTCTTCATGGTATCTTGCCTCAAATGTTCATTTCTTGTACTATGGTCTGAATCCAGACCATTTTGAAAAGCAGACTACAAGCGACACTGAGAAAGGAGAGGAACTGAAATAGAACTGGGAATGTTTTGTCTCTGTAATCCTGACTTTGTTCTAGTGTAGCATTTTATGCAGCATCCTCTGGTTCTGAAACATAACACTGAGAAGAGTCTCAACGAGTTAAGCATATGGAGCAACTTAAAGTGTGTTCCTACCCTGAGAAGTGACTAAAAATGGCATTCTGTGTTTCCAAATGTATTATGTCTCTTTGCCTTCAGCTCAAAAGTGCTCAGTTCATAAGTTAAAAGGTGATCTAATTGCCAGCCTTGCAGATGCCACCTGCACTCAGGGTCAAGTCTTTCTTTCTCATGCATACTGCTAGCAAGAGATTCTCCAAGCCAAATAATCTGCAACTTCAACTGTCTTCAAAAATGAAGTCCTAGTTATACATGTAATTGTACTGAAATATAATGGAGTTGTTCAGATAGTTGAGGGCAGAATCTTTACTAATGAAAATACAAGAGACGGGAAAGAACCCAGCTTGACCCTCAGATTCCAAGGTGAGTTTGTAGGACAGGCAATTAGGAAACACTTGTAAACGGAGAAAATAAGAGCTTAAAGCAGTAGTTCCCAAACTGTGGAGCATTTCCCTCCTGGGGGAGAGGGAAAAGCAGGGCGCAGAGGAACGTTCGGAGCAGGTGCGGCAGGGCTCAGGCCAGCCCCCATGGGGAATGCCCCTCAGCCCTGCTCTGCCCACAACCCTGGCCTCTGCTCTCAGCTCCGAGGGGGGAGTGACAAAAAGTTTGGAGACCACTGGCTTAAAGTAAGTAACTGAAGCACAATACACAATATCCCCAGTGCGATTTTTATGAATTACTTTTTCCAGAACCAAAATTTAAAGAGTCTCAGATACTATGTTGATGAGAACTATAGGTAGTTTGAGAAATATATGTATTCTGCACCACAACATTAGCATTAATTGCAAAAGACCAGCCTGAATGGTACCTTACTAAAAACTTATAATCAAGTGTCTATGTATAGATCAGCCACCAGAAGCACCAAGAACAAATAACTTTTAATCCAGACTCTGCTGGGGGAGTGATGCCAGGGGGTGAGGGAATTTAAGAACCCAAAGGATGCTCCTAATTTTGGTCCCCTGTATATCTCGCACAACTTGCTGTTGCTAAGCCATTGAGCCAGACCACATCTATTAATTCAGAAAAAGCTTCTGAAGTGTTATATTTATGTTTGAAAAGAATCCAACTTGTTAAAAGCATTGCCCTTTACTGTTTTGTCTTCTGAAAAAAACAAAACAAAAAAACCCAACTCATTCTTAATAAAAAAGTCACCACTCTTACAGGAAAAACTGTTGAAACAAAGGAGTGGCAAGCCTTTTACTAAACTAACCTCATAATTAATAAAGTTTGCAGAGTCCTCAAGGTTCATTTCTTCTCTTCTTGGTGGATTGTCATGTGTTGCTAGAGCCAAGCAACGCAATGTGTCTCTACCAGTACCCCACTCTCGAATGACAGTCATGATCTTCTGCTTAATTCCTGGAGTTAATAGTACTTTAGTGCTTCCAACACGAACATGCGTACACCTGTCAAGTACACCTTCAGGAGCACCCTACAGAAGCAAAGCAAGAAATGAGCAAATTTGTTCTCCATCACAGAATCATTTCACACAAGATAAGAAAGCAGTCCATCTCCAAAACTGATAACACTAGGCACACTTTATGCTCATGGTTCAGCTACAATTAGTCTAAGCACAACTTCAAGAGTCCTGTTACTTTGTAGCCATTTCAAAACTATACTTCTCATATGCTGAACTTGCCTTAACAAACATCTTGCTCATGGATGTCCGGCTCGGTTTGTTTGGAGTACAGTAGACAGACATGGACTTTCTGTCCCTTGAGAATTCCAGAGTGAACTCTTTCTTCATGAGTTGTTTTATGACCTATGAAGGAGACATTATTAACAACATTTCATTCAGATTGCAACAACAACATAACTGAAATCACATACAGTTTACAGTATTTTGGAAGTACTGACCGAGCTGCAAGCATTTGCACGTTCAATTCTGGAGAGCCCCTTTAATTCTGTGTCAAATACATTCATCTTCTCAACCAGGCAGCTGAGTGCAGTCTCCGTAGCTTCTCCAACTTTTTCATACACTCCCTTAGCCTTCAATTCATTAAAAAAAATGGAGAATTATTACTGCTATAAAAACCTTGGTCTTTGGCAAGTCACCACAGTGAAATTTCAAGTGATACAATGATTGGAAACAATACTTAGCAGATCTTGTTGCAGTTCATAATGAAAAAAAACACAAAGAAATGAGTTTCTCCAAAATGTCAGATTTCACCAATCTTTTTTCCACATCTTAAAAGGAAAACAGTTTTTGCCACAGTAAAAGCTGTGTTATCCAGCACTTTACCAACCAGAAAGCTCTATTGGGACACGGGAGGGGGTGTGGGGTGCCGGATCCGGGTGGCGCTCACCTCGGGCAGCTCCCTGCAAGTGGCAACATATCCCTGCTACTTCTAGGCAGAGGTGCGGCTAAGTGGCTCTGCACACTGCCCCATCCCGTCTCGAGCGCTGGCTCTGCAGCTCCCAGTGGCCTGTCTAGGCGTGCCTCCACCTAGGAGCAGCAGGGACATGTCGCTGCTTGCGGGGAGCTGTCCAAGGTGAGTGCCACCCAGATCCAGTACCCCCCTCCCATGTCGCAACCCCGTCTCCTCCTGCACCCAAACTCCCTCCCCCTCTTAGTTAACCGGATTTCCCCCCCCCCACACACACACGTATTGTTTAAACTTACCAGCATCTCCCATTCTCCCAACATGCTGGATAACAAAGCTTTTACTGGATTTTCCTAATTTATATTTGCAATGTATTATTTCAAGATAGAGATTTAGGACAAGCAGGATAGCCTAGCAACAGTGCCCTCTACATTGTTAAGGAGGAGACAGGTCTGAGTTCCAAGTTAGTCTCACTCTTAACTCAAGTTGCTCAACAAAGGTCCTCTCTAGCCAAATAAGGAGTGGCATTAACTGTTTCTTAAGGGACTAAGTGGTCTCCCTTAACCAGAAGAATAATGGTTATAACATTGTGCTTTATAGGTGTTTATATGGGAAATAGAATAGGAAGTCACTAACACCCTGAGAGTTTGCTCAAAAAATGTGAGGCACCTCCCAACTTTGGGGAAAGATACAAAGTAAATTTAGACAAGAACAAGCATTTAACTTCATTCTGGTTTCCTCTTGTATTGTAAAAAATATTGACTTACTTCATTGTAATCCAAAGAAGAATCATTACAAAGTGCACAGATCGTTGCTAGTTCTACAAGGCCATCATACTGATGACATTTAACAAGTTTGTCATCTTTATGCCTGTCAATAAATAAATAAATACATACGTAAGGACCTGAGTGAAAAGTTACTGAGTCAGTTAACTATGCTCTTACATTTCACCCATTTTTTCCTTAGTTAATCCCTCTATATACTGAATGATAGAAAACAACGCAAATTCATTGTTTAGTGAAGATTCTGAAGCAATGGTTCTCTCTCAGTTATAAGACGTGGCATTACAGAATCTGCACCAAAGAAACATTCTATCCTGAAAAATGCAAGGCAGAGTTAAAAATGAGAGCACTGTACCGTTAAACTAGGCTTTAAATAAGGAGTATGGGTACAAATTTCTGGATTTTATTTTATGCTCCTCTTTTCATAAGGACTTATGTTTTAGTGACATATTTCACCATTTTATGTTCCCACAAGGGCTCACTATGGCAACAGATTTTTGTTGTTGTTTCTTCCCTGTGTCACTCAGTTTTTAAGATACAATCTACATTTATGGTGTTAAATAAGATAGGAGCAAGGAATGGGTCTAAGAGTTCACAGCTTAAGATAGACAAGACCAAAGACAAGAACAGCTATGGATCAAAAGTTCAGATAAAAGAAGGTGTGGGAGTATTGATGGAAACAAGCGTTGGAAGGATTCCCGGAAGTACTGTTATAAGGAAGAACTTGAAGGAGAAGAGAGGGTGCTTGTTAAATAAGCAGAAGGAGGAGATTTGAAGCTTAGGGGCAAAAAGAGTAAAAGTAAAAAAGGTGAGAGTTTGAAAAGGAGATAAGCAAGTGTGGGAAAAAGGATGATGATTATTAACAGGTTTTACTATGGCTTTTGGAGTACACACACACACCCCCACCCACCCACCCCTCATATATATTAATGATTTACCTTTACAAGTATTATCCCCATTTTACAGTAAGAAAATGGAGGAACTGAGTTTAAGTGATTTGTAGGAGGTCACACAGGAAATCTATAGCAGTGCTGGGAACAGAACACACAGATTGGACAGGGACTCTCTCCTGTCACTTCTTTTATCACAAGACTATCCTCTTTTCTATTTCTAGTTTCCAGTAGAGAGAAATTATTTGCTTTCCAGGAGTGACCCACTCCTGATTATGGACATTAGCACCCAAACAGTTTCACGGTGGTATATGACATTAATAAGATTAATTTTGCAAATGTTAACTTCATATATTAGAGCTACATCCCCTCTTTACTTTTCACGCTTAGATATTCACGTTAGAATGGTATTACTTATAGAGACTTATTTTATACAACATCAGCATACCTCTAGATTAGCATGAAATAATTATTGAGGCATTATGACAACTGCTGCTGGTTACTTTTTTTTTTTTTTTTTTATAAGCCAGTGAATACTGACTACCCCCTAAACAGAGGCTGTCCACCAGCATGGGTCCATTTTTCTCCTGTGTACTTCAGTTGGAAAACAGACTACTGCTACATAGTACAACGTTTACTGTAAACATACAGCAAATGTAGCTACATAGCAAGCTTTTTCCCAGTTATTTTGTAGTATTATAAATTATACAAATACTGGAACCTGTTGCTGTATACCATATAAATAACTAGAAGTCCATATTAAAAAAAAAAAAACTAAATGTAAGGTATCATCCCTTGTTAAATATTTTGTATATTAAGTTACAGCTACAAGCAACACACACACACACACACACACACAGAGATAACAAGAATTTGTGTTAATTACTTCAAATTCTCTCAGCCCTCCTAATTTTCATCTCATTTTACCTGTCATAGGTTATGCTCTTTTCTATTGTCTTCATTTGGGTTGGATTTCTATTTTCTGAGGATAACTGTTTGGATAACCTCTGGAACCTTGTCATTTAACAGTACTGTTTTTTCTTGCCTTACTCTTCCCTGTGTTTCTGAGACTCAGTCATGGTGTGCACAAGTAGCCTCTGTGCAGAGTCTAGGGCACTTTAAATTTCTCCCTTTGAAATCTCCTTCACTAATCTAAGAGCCTAAAGTCAAATGTGAGTAATTTAAAGTTCAGAGTCAAAGTGACAGTTTTTGGCATGATCACTCCCTCAAGGATAGTGAAGGTGTGCATAGGCCATATACACTGGTGCAGAGTGAAGTGAACAGAATAAGGTTTCATCAGAAATGGTATGGGGCCAACAGAGAAACAAGAGGAGTATTACATTTTAATATTTTGGCTGCATAGTCAATTCCATTAGAAAAACTGGTTCTAACTGATTCTACTGTTCCAATAGAAAACATATATGTTGCTTTTGAATTCATACTTTCAATGAATTTTTATAATTTTTTTGAGCTTTCTGAAAGCGCTAACGTGTTTCCTGAGATAGAGAAACTTCATGAAGTACCAAGACTTGTTTTTTGTTACTTACTATAAATTAGGTCATTTGTGTTTACATGTACATTAACTTTCATAAGTGCCTCCTTCCATCCACCTACATGGAAAATAATGGTTTCCTAGCCCTTAAAACAACAAAACAAAACCCCAAAAAACTAATTCTCGACTTACAGAGGAATGATTTTATTATTTTGATGTACTGGAGAATTATTTGCTTTAAAAATATTTTAAATCCAAGGTGAAGTCAGTCAGTTATTGATCCAAATGATTATAAACCACACACCCCACACAAACAAGCAAACAAAAAACCCAGTGGACTGAATGACTAAATCCACTCCAAGCAAAGATGAAGATCATCAATTTGCCTTAAGGACCTGAGGATTCAACTACCAGAATTTTTTATGGCAAGGTGACATACTGTAGCACTATGAAATGTACAAGCACAGTATCCTACACGAGCTGTCTCAAGGACTCTAAGTAAACAGAATATGGAATTACGACTATAATTTTATTTTATTAATAGGGCCTGACATCGGTCATCAATTTATGTTAACATTCCATCTTCACTGACTGGTATTGGGTAAGTGTAAATAGATAGGTACATGAAGATTCCTTATATGAAAAGGAAATTGCTACAAAGTCTTTTGGATGGCCCAAAATAACCTATTTCTTGACATGGAAATTTCAAGTCTTATTTGCAATTAACTTTTAAACAAAAAAGAAAATTTACAGAATTAATAATTCTAAATATTGAGAACTCTATTCACTGCTATGAGGATTATCATTATGGACATTGCTAAAAACCTATTGACTTTTTGGAGCAACATATGCCAAACCTCAAACTGTAAAGAGATGTTTAAAGTATATATTTCAACTCATTGTATAGGGAAATTTTGTAAATAAATCCTCATAAATTTAAATATATCTGAAAAAGCATACCCTTCCCCCGCCCAAGAAGGAGTTATTTATTACAGCTCCTTTTCTCAATTTTTCTCTAATGAAAGATATTTTCTCTCTGGGGTGCGATCCTAGGATTCTCAGAATTCTAAGGATGAAAAAAAAAAAAAAAATCTCCATCCCACTAGTGTAACCTTATGTTTATTAACATTTCCACTGGAGACAATAAAGCTATCAGCCTTTTCAAAAAAAAGTCAGTGGTTTAGAGCAGTGTTTAATCTTTTTGATATCAGGGACTGGCTTGCTGCCTTCCTAAACTGTGTCAAAAAAATCTCAGTGACCAGAGCCAGTCCATGGACCAGTTGTTGAGAAACTCTGGTTTACAGCGTACAACTTTAGAAAAAGACCAAAGCTACTGTAGATACATAGTAAGGGACCAATCCTTAAGCACTGATCTACAGAGTTCAAAGGGTACTGCAGGTCCTGAGCATCTATTCAAATTTGTCTTGAAAAAGGTGAATTCCAGAACAGAGAGCAACCCAAAGAGTCAATGAATTCCTCAACTGTCCTCATAGGGGGCAATACTATTTGAGAGATTACAAGAATTTAAGATTTAAGTTTAAAACAGGTGACTATAACTTCCATAAAGGAATGGGAATGTAGGTCCCATGCAGCATCATTGAAAGATACTTATTAAACTACTAAAATCTTTTTTTTTTTTTTTTAAATCTAAATCTAAATCTAGAAAGCTTTCAACAAGAGAAATCCCACAACCCTAATTCATCATTTCTGGAACATTAGTTGTCAAGTGAACGATGTAAAAATAAATAAATAAATAAATAAATAAAATGTATATTTTAAGGATGCTTCATTAGATTTAGACTTTGCAGAATTTAACTTCCTTTCAGTAAGTTTTATTCTAGGCTAAAACAGGTCGTCTCTAACCTCAAATTTATATACACAATGGTTGAGAAACTCTGATACATTAACAAATGTTATCAGATACTTTAATATACTGAGCTGCCTATCAGTATGTACATGTACAACCAATGGATAAATTGGCAGACATTTAACATGAATGAAGCACTTACACTTCTCCCATGGGAGCATATGTTGACCCTGTTACAGTAAATTCATTCAGGGAACAGGCATCTCCTTCTACTCTGTCCAGGACGAATATCTGTAAGAAAAAAAAGTGTTTTAAAATATTAAATTAGTATAATCAGACACTAAAGTTAAATGGACTGAAATCAGTTTGAATTTGTCACATTATATATACATAAGACAAAATTTAAGAAGGAGCAATCCGTTCACAGAAAAGCTAAGACAGGCAGAAAGGATAGATACCAATTCTAAAATTCATCCTTGACAACATAATTTTATTTGCTCCAGATATTTAACCATGTGTGCATGCAACACTACTCTGTTATGTAAGCCAGGATTGTTAGTCTATCAGCTGTGGTAACAGTGGAGCACGTTGATCAAAAGGGCTAAAAGTGACTGTCCCAATTCGAACTGCCTGACCTAGTCATGTACCCAGGTGATAATTCTAATTCTAGCAGATCTTTCTGGAGGTATGTTCCTAGGCTTCAGATACATACAATTCAGATATTAATTTTCTATGAATTTGTTAAAAGCACAGTAGTCCCAAGGCAAGAAAAAAATAACCAGTTTGAAGACCGGAGTGGATTTATCTGTACAGACCATATCAGGTAAGATAGAATCACAAAGTACTTCAGAGCAGTAAAGTCTGCTTCTAGATATCAGAGACCAAGAGAATATAGGTAATGTCCCACTCCAGGGAAGTGACCCTTTCCTATGAGCCTTTGAGTAAGAGCATTCCTATCTTCAGTTTTTTACTAAAGAAATTTGTTTCCAGTGTATTACTGTTTTGGAGGGCATTCAAATAGCTCAAGTACCCCTGCAACATATAATGGAGCGTAATTTCTAAAGTAGAGAATAAACTAGTGTTTGAGGAATGCAGATGCTCCCCCACCTCAGTCATCTGCATCCTTTAATCCTGTTTCCACAGCAGAGGAGCCACAGGCAGAACCAAAAATCAGATAAGGGGTCAAAAATCTAGTGCCTGAAGTTCTGATATTCCAAAATGACAAATGCCTTTTGATAAACTACCCAGCTGATAGAGTGGCCATGGTGGAGAAACAAGAATCATTCTTTTATAGATCTGAAGTAATAGTATAGCATTGTGGAAAAATGTGATTGTAATTGGTTACATAATATATTACATAATTGGCACCATTATATGAACCAGTCACAAACTTTCCCACAAAGTCATGCCGTTACATATATGACAGAGAAACAGGACATTGCCTGCTTAACTGTTTTTAATCTAAAAACAGAGTCATGTTTCGGTAATGCCTCGCTTTTACTTTATCTACTCTACACTGCATTTTAGTTAAGCCTCTAATCCCATTGGTAGAAAAAACTGAAGTCTTAATAACAAGATAGTCAATAACTGCTCTTCATGATGGCTGAAAATTATACAAAATACTTAAAATTCAGAAGGCAGACAGGTGGGTGAATTTGAAAGTCACTCCAGAGAATATGAAACTGCATCAGACTGAAAAGACAGTAACTCTTGTCCTAAATCTGTCATACAAACCTTTAAATTCCTACAAACATGTACAGGCTACAACTCAGCAACAGCACACTATATAGAAGATCTAAATCTCACATGGAATTACCATGGCAAAGGCTTCTTGAAAAGCTAAGCATAGTGCCTCCTTAAGTGAAGTCAGAGGTAGCCGTACCACTTGTTTGCCATACTTTATGGTAGACAAGTTTCAGTTGCAAAATTTTAATGATTTTGATTCTTCTGAAAACATGAATGAATCATGGTGCATAGGATCCAAAACACTCCGCTTTCTAAATATCAGAAAGGACTCATATTGCATTCCAAAAGAAACCTTTATAAATGAATCTGAAAGTATCTGGATGTTCTTAAGAACATGGAAGCGCTCTGCTTTTTGGCACCTGAGTGATGAAATGACCCCTATGAAGGCTAGGGCAGTTATGCAATACCACTGCAAGTAACCTCCTCCAGAATACTAATGAGCAGCTGCTTTGTCTCTACACTACAATACTTAACTCTGTGTAAGACTAGCAATCTTGTTAAAAAGGAAAGAAGAAAAACCTGCCATTAATCAAGTGAGAATAAATAAATAGAATAATGTTTAAGAGTTTCTGGATTTTTTGGGGGGAAGGGGAGGTTCCCCAAATCTTTATAGCACATTTATACATTTAAAATTCTGGTCTGGTACAGTAATTTTGAACAGTATTTGAGGTCATGTAATGCAGCCAGCACAGTAGCTCTAATATCTGATAATCACTTAACTACCCAACAAGATTAGAAATATCTTCATCAGAATCAGAAACGTATCAACTTGTAAAATACTATTTCCAGTAAATTCCTGTTCAGAATTCCAAGTGGCAGGGCTGCATGAAAGATTGGAAATTGAACATGCAGCACAATAATACGCAGTTATGGTATACTAGGGTTACCATATTCAAACATTTAAAAAAAGAGGACACTCCACGGGGCCCTGGCCCCGACCCTGCCCCCAACTCCGCCCCTTCCCCACCCCCGGCCCCGCCCCAACTCCACCCCTTCTCTGCCCCCATTCCAACCCCTTCCCCAAAGTCCCTGCCCCAACTCTGCCCCCTCCTCTGAGCACCCCGCATTCCCCCTCCTCCCTCCCGCTCTGATCTTGGTTGGGGGTTGCTAAGTGCTTCCCTGCTCCCCACAGCCCCTATGCCCTTGCCTGCCCTGCTCCTCCTCACCCTGCAGCCTCTGCGCCCCCTGCCCCCCACTCGCCCTGCAGCCTCTGCGCCCCCTGCCTGCCCTGCTCCTCCTCGCTCTGCAGCCTCTGCGCCCCCTGCCCCCCACTCGCCCTGCAGCCTCTGCGCCCCCTGCCTGCCCTGCCCCTGCACCCCCTGCCTGCCCTGCTCCTCCTCGCCCTGCAGCCTCTGCACCCCCCTGCCCCTGCAGCCTCTGCACCCCCCCA